ATTGAAGTATATAGAAGTTGTCATTAAAATTATTATTTTATTACTTGTTTTTGACTTAGAATTTGTAGCCACGTGTGTGTGTTGAGATTGAGTTAAAGCAATTTTGTTTTATTTTGTATACAACAGAATTCCTCCATAGAAAAAGTTAGAGAAACCACAATTGAGAGTAGTCAGACTTCTTTCACCATATAATATAATTTTTTCAAACACGACAGCAAGTTAAAAATAAAGTTGGAACATGATTTTGGTTCTCTCTCCAAAAATTAAATTGATCTAACGGGGTAAGATTACGATGTGAAAGTAGTTAGTCCCGTTTAATTTATTTTTTCATATTGATAAATATTATGCTAATAAAGATTATGATATGATATGAAATGGTCACTCCGTATCAAATGTATGATACATTATGAGCTCTTACCGAATTATAAAGATATGATATGATAGTATGATATTCTGATGCGTGATTTAATACTGTTATTCGGGATTGCACAATTACTCGTATCCTATTAAGTATTCTCATAAACTCATCATTTTCCCTATTTCTCACAGGTTATAATGAGTTGTTGGTTGGCGGGCGATGATGTACTGTCATTGCGCTGGAGTTCATTTAACTCAATAAATTAAATCCGGTGTATCGAGGCTAAATTTTTATTTTCCACATTAACTTTAGGGGGTGTTTGTTTGGGATTTTTGGGGAAAGAATTGATTTTTGAATAGTGATATGATGGGAAATGTGTGGTTGAAAAAGAAAAAAAATTATTGATGTGATGGAAGATATTATTTTATTGAAAAATGTGTGGTTTGGGACCCGGTTTCCGTTTTGTGAGGGTCAATGGTCAAACGTGTTCTACTCCGCGAGTAGATATTCGAAACATATTTAGAGTGTGTTTGGTAGGGATTTTTGGGGGAAGAATTGATTTTTGAATAGTGATTTGATGTGAAATGTGTGGTTGAAAAAGAAGAAAAAATTATTGATGTGATGAAAAATATTATTTTATTGAAGAATGTGTGGTTGAAAATGAGAATTGCTTTACTGTAAAATTTGAGAATCCCAAACAAACACCCCCTTAGTCTTATTATTCTATAGATTTTTCATTTAGGGTGTGTTTGATTACAATGGTGGAAAGAAAATGATTTTCAGGAAAAATAATTGCCTAAAAATTGTTTTGTAGGGAATTATTAATTAAGTGTGTTTGATTGATATAATTTTCCACCCAGAAAAAAATTGAAATTTTGGATTTTTTTTTTGTTCACGTTTGGCTTTATTTTACATGAAAATTATCCATTAAAATGAATTTTTTTTTTTACAATTAGTTATGAAATTTGTTTCTATTGCCAAAAAAACAAAAAAGTGAACTGGAAAACCTTTTCCTCCAAAATCAGGCATATAGGCGCGTGAGGTACAAGGGTAGAAAAAAATTTGTAATGCTTTCCCACCAATTGGTGGGATCAATTTTAAGGAATTTGGGCGCTTGAGTAATGAGGTGGGAAAACATTTTCTAGGGAAATTATTGACTATCAAACAAGCCAAAATGGAGAAAATGGAAATTATTTTCCTAGTTCTAGGCAAAATAATGGCTATCAAACATAACCTTAGAATTTTGAAATATGATTTGTTTGGTATAAGGTTAAGTTTGCATTAAATTATATCGATGGAATTAATATTTTATTGTTTGTCTATTAAACGTGACATGCAAGAAATATTCTCAAGTATTAGTTACTGGAGTTTACCATGAGAAAGATTATGAAATGTCATCAATTGAAATTCTCGGTAAATTTAAGGCATGTTTTGCAAAAAAAATAAAAATAAAAACATAATTCTGGTTGTAAGCCCATCTATAGTATTACTTGAATTGGCTTAAATAGTAATTAATTGAATTATATATTAATTAGGGGATCTTTGGGTCAGAAAACATTTCATTAACTTACAAGCACACTAGTACGTGTGAATGTGTCTCTAAATGTGTGAAGGCAATTAAATCCTCCTTTCTCATTTTTTAAAAGGGATAATTACATCAACGATACCAAACATTTCATTTAGTAGTAGACTTTGCTCAAAATCTTTTATTTGTGTCAACCACGGTACAAACCTTTCATTTGTGCCATCCACAATATCAAACATTTCAAAATGTTGCAATTGAAATCCAAATAGACGATTTATGTTAGTTTGACCGTTAGTTGACCAAATAATTGATTTTGACAATAATTTTGACTAACTTTAAAATGTTAAAATGGTAACTTTATATATTTTTTATAATAAAATAACTAAAATCAAATCGTTAAAATTAAAAATCAAAAACCAACTTCATCTTCTCCACCCAACCCAACCCCACCCCACCCCACCCCACCCAACCACACCACGCCGGCAATTACAACAAGCTCGGGCACTCCGAGCCCAAAAAGGCAATCACACGAAAGCCCACTTTTCTCACTCGTACTAGCTCCTCTGGACCGATTTTCAACTCGGTGAAGACTGCAGTAGTAAATCTCATAGTAGGTGTAAGATTGAGTTTTGAAGCAATAACGAGAAATGAAATGGTCGTCAATTGTGCAGAAAACTACATTTAATTTTGTAAAATTGATTTCAAAAAGTGGAATTCGTTTGCTTGATTGATGGTGAGTAGATGTGTATTTATTGATTACGGTGGAAGAGATGGTAGTGGTGGTGATGGTTTTGGGGTGGGGATGGGTATGTGTGGGGTGGATGGAGAATATGAAGTTGGTTTTTGGTTTTTAATTTTAATGATTTGATTTTAGTTATTTTATTATAAAAAAATGTAAAATTACCATTTTAATCTTTTAAAATTAGTCAAAATTATTGTCAAAATCAATTATTTGGTCAACTAACGGTTAAACTAACAGAAATCGTCCATTTGGACTTCAGTTGCGGCATTTTGAAAGATTTGGTACCATGAGTGACACAAATGAAAAGTTTAGACAAAATTTATTACTAAATAAAAGGTTTGGTACCATTTCTGCAATTATCCCTTTTTAAAAATGGCTCAGTTAATTATGCGACACTGCCGCTTACGTCTTACTTGTACGAAATTTGAAATTTCATACGTATGAAGAATTTCCTTTCTATTTCGGAAATTATAAATTATATTTTTATGATCTTTTCAAATATGTATAGATACGCTTCAAAATAAAGAATATAAATATTCTTACATACAGGGGTGGGAACGCAGGTCGGTTCGATTTTGTTCGGTTCTAAAAATTTTCTGGTATTTAGTAAATGGTACCGTCTGTTCCAAATATAATTTTGGAACCGTTCGGATTCGGTTCGGTTCCGTACTATAATTAATTTTTTTAACATTTAGAATAATATTACATAAATACACCCGAAAGTAGATACTAATATTAATAACAAAAAATAGATACAAATACCAAGTTCAATCTTAGTTTTTACAAATTAACGTAATCTAATTTAATAACATATAAATAATAAGTTGTCAAATACAAATACTAAAAAATAAATATTACCAGGAAAATTTCGATGATTCATATCAATAATTCATTTGTTTCAAACCTTCAAGTATACATAAAAATGAAATATAAATTAGAAGTTATAAAGATAAAATATTTTAAAGTATTGATAATACTTACCAACTATCTAATATAATCATCAGTTACTTGATTTTTCATACTAATTAATAAGAAACTATACAAGAAAAAATTGAAAAAAACACAATTAACAAACATAAATAAACTCTAAATTGTTCAACTAATAAGATTTAATAAGAAAAAAATTATTAATTTATTTAAAAAAAATAAAAGAAATTGATTTATCTAATATAAAAAAATTGGTTTTTAGTCTAGAATCGAGAACCGAAACAAACCATTCGGTTTTCTAATTGGATACCCGTTCGGGCATTTCATTTAAGAAAAACCGCTCGATTTGGTTCGGTTCGAACATTTTGCCCAACTCTACTTACATAACCTTTTATAAATTGTCAATACATAATTATATATATTTTTGCATGTCACATTGTTAAGTTGCAAAGAAACTTTCTAATAGCAATTTAAATTATAAAATTTGGGTCGTTATAACAACATTCTTGCTACACTGACATGATCAACGACAAAAGGACACGTGTCAATACATGATTGGACCGTTTGAAAATAAAAAAAATACCCAATCCCGCTATACCACCACACTTTGTCACCCTTCCCTATTAGCAATCCCTATCCAAGGTGCATAATTGTATGCTAACCTTGCTATGGTAACGACTCAACGATAGAAGTGATACGTGTCAATAAATGATTGGACAGTTTTTTTACAAAAAATACAACACCCAATCCCACTTTGCCACAGCACCCTATCACCCGTTCCCTGTCAGCTAGTGGTGGCAAACGAGCTAGTTGAGCGGGCACGGCTCGCCCACGAGCGAGCGGCTTGTCCAAGGCGAAGGGTTTATCATTTAAAAAAAAATGACGGGCTCGTGAGTCGAAACTCGGCTCGGCTGACAAGTAACAAGCCACGAGCACGAGCTGAGCTTGTGCGCATACGCCGGTCGACTGTCAGCAATCCTTGTCCAACGAGCATACGACAGAGGAAACACGTGTCAATATATCATTGAATAGTTTGAAGAAAAAAATACAACACCCAATTTCGCTCAGCATAATTGTAAGCCAATCTTGGTATAGTGATAGACTCAATAACAAAAAGGACATTTGTCAATATATGATTGGACAGTTTGAAAAAAAAAAAAAAAAAATGACACCCAATCCCGCCCTACCACCCCCACCCTGTCAACCCCCTCCCGGTCAACAATCCCTGTCCAAGTAGTAATTGTAAGCCCAAAGCAAACCCCTACTCACCTGCTGCTCACTGCTTATCTACCAGTACACTTTTCATTATGAGATGTAACAAACCCATCGCCTAGAATTTGCGTTTCAGATCTCCAAAGATAAAGAAAATCACAATTCACTGTGTATAACAGAATTTTCATTTGGGTCAAAATCGAAACAGTAATTTGTATTATTGTAAAATGGAGAAGATGAATCAGGCGTTTGAGAAGATGAAGATGCTGGTGGGAATGGAGGTTGAAGATGAAGAACAACCACAAGAAGAGTCCTCCTTCGCTTTCATGGAGGATTTCAATCGCAACTGCACTCTGTCGACCAAACAGGTATTATGATTTATCTGAAACTAAATTCATTTATCGAAGAATTAATTCTTCTGCGTATAAACAATTAACCTTTTGGGCATGTTACATCTTTGATTGAATGAGCTATTGTTGGTTTAAATTGGTTTAAATTTGCGGGAATTGTGCTAAAAAATTGTGGATCTGTACTATTATAATGATCACATTAACGGCCTTAAAAGTTATATCATAGGCAATTACGCAGACGTTCTATGTACTGCGGACTAAAGTTTCTCGTTATGGTTGCTAATTTTTATTTAACAATTTTTCTCTTTCTAATTTGTGCTTCATTAACATCTATAACAGAGGTTGTATGGGTTTGTGACGTGCTTGGTTGCTGGCATAACTTGCACACTCTTGGTAAGCTGTACCTTGTTGTGTTGGACTTGATAAAATCATTTTCAAATACTTCTGATCCTGCAAGAAATTGTGGTGCTGGACCATTTTTTTTAGTTTATGTTTGCTGATTTTGCTTGAGAGCATGATAATTTTCATTTAGAATCCTACTTAGGATGTTTAAGTTTGAACTAGAGGATCTTGTTTGCTCATATTAGTGTAAATGTGTGGATCATTATAAGTATTGACGACCATGGGATTGACTCATTTGTGTTCATGTTTTCTATGACAGTCCATGCTTGTTTTCTTCAATCCCGTCAAGTTTGGAGTAACATTCTCCTTTGGCAATTTGCTTGCTCTTGGAAGGTTTGTTTTCTGAGATATTTATTACTTGCTTTCAACTTTTTTTTTCTAGCAGTTTATGTTTTTAAGAAGCATTCAGCATCAGTTATATCATCATTAAATACTCTGCATCTGCCACACTATCCCAAGTGCTTTTCAGGTTCTTTTTTGTTTTTCTTGATATTTAGGAAAAGACTGTTTATTGAGAATATGACCCTGTTCATTGTTGTTGCTGCTATTGTTAATACAGTTTTGACTCTAATAGCTTTTTTTTTTTTTGACAACTAAACCATTTGATTTTTTCACCTTTTTGGCTTTGGATGGAGGAGCAAAAACCATTTTTGTAACCATACTGACCATGGGATGACCTTTGAAAGTTTATACATTTTATTTAATTTTAAACTGTAGCATGGAGTTTATGATTACTACAAATACAGTTTTCAGTTTTATTTTTGGAATTGAATAAGCTTACCACGGCTATGAACAATATCTTAACTTTAAAAAGAACATGTGAGATTGAAAAGAATATGAGAGGATTCTCTGTGAAATTGAATAGACACCTATGAAATATTTGGTTGTTGATATATAAGAGCTGCAACACCATCTACCTTAACAGTTATGTTTCCCCTTCTTGTTCGACTCTAATAGCATTAAGACAACTGGCTCTCTCGGATTCACTGCTATAATTATGCTACCAATTGTTAAGTGCCCTTAATTCCACAAAGAAATATTGTGTCAATTCTGTGACCATTTGTTGTTATGTTTTAGAGGCACCGTTTTTCCATTTCTTGAAGATTATTAAGAATTTGATGTTCAACTATCGGTCAGCATTACATTTTTGAAACACTGCCATTGTATTCAGCTTGAATTAATTGATGTAGTTATTTGCAAATCAAAGTTCTTTGATAATTTTGTATGAGATAAGGGTCTTTTGAAAGAAGGTGGGAATAAATCTGTTAATTCAAGAGTCTCTTGCAACTGAAGAGCAAACCTTGTGCTTATTTTCCATGTCAGATCCTTTTTTCCCCATTCTGAGCAAGACCATTAATTTTCTTTTGCTTGAAGTGGATTCTATGATATTAAGGCATTCTGATTGCCTGTAATTTTGTGCACAAAATCACTATTATGAGTTGCTTCATTATAAATTTCCACTGGCGGTTTGAAGCTCCAGAGCCATTATGAAGAAAGCTGAAAACTCTTGCTGCACCAAATCTAGATTATCTCTTTAGAGTAATGAACGAGGAAATAATATTCTCTTTTGAATTTGCAAATAGTTTTGAGTTTATGAAGATCAAGATTTTGAGAAAGAGGTATAACAAGATCTTCTATACTTCTCCCTTTGGATGAGACGAAAATGATGATTGTAGTTTGGCATGACAGCTGCTTGATAAAATGTTAAAAATCGGTTAGAATAATTTCTGTTATTGAATATTTGAAATACCCTTGTAACTGGCATATTATCTCCAGAAGCGAGACTAACTTTAAAAGGCAGCACACGACTGCTTTATCATGAAAATTGTTTAAATTTCTTTAAGTTGTTGATATTGCAATAGAATTTGATGACAATAAGTGGTTATAGATATAGTAGTACTGGCGGCAATAAGTGGTTATAAATATAGTAGTACTGGCGGCTTTATTCTCAAAGCCAAAAAGGTTTCAGAAAAGGGATTATGATTTTTTTTTTTCAACAACAATCATCTTCAAACCAATCAAGGAATACAAATTGGAAAGTATTTTTTGGTGTTTGCATGATTTTAGCTTGGATAGCTTCTCTTTGAAACTTGTTGAAGGAAAAGCCAATTTTTTTTTTCTTTATTTTTCTCCATAAAGAACTCAGTTAAGAGGAGATTTATCAATAGAGAATTCTCCAGATATAACATATAACTGTTCAGTATGATTGTGCATTTTAGAACACGGTGGTGACTCATGGGAGGCTGTATCTCCATTTCGTCCAGCATCTTCACAGGACAGAGGTGGAATACTTGATTCAGAATGGACGAAGTTTGCTAAATTGAAGAGGTTGATGGTTTACTTGCCATAAACTCGATTGACTGTAAAGTGGATCTTCTTGAAAAAGAAAAATGAATTCGATCAGATCTATTGGGATGTCCTACAGTGATTTATAACCGACTGGATTCTTGTTTCTGAGGAGGAACCCTGGAATACAGGCTCCAATGAAAAGAATTGGCAGTCAGATCATCATAAATCTTTCAGGGAACAGAACATTAGAATGTTCAGGATTGGCCTCAAGAAGAACATTTTCCTTTAGGAGACGCTTTGAGTTTAATAGTAGTAGAAATGGATTTATGTCTAAGTTTTAGGGTGAGCATTTAAAGTTAAACGTAGATAAAATAGTCATCATTTAGATCCACAGAGAAGTTTGGATAACAATTGAAACAAACAGGTCCCTTTTCTAAATCAACTCTACACATTGAAAATAAAGAATTTATAATCCTATCTCTAGCTTGACGTGAACATTATGAATTGGGGACAGGAAGACCAAGTACCAAACCAATTATTGTTAGCATTGATACCACGACTAGTTGTTCTCAACAAAACTGGAAAAGGTTCACTCAATATAATTTTGCGGCTATAATAAGCGGAAGAAAAAACTGAAAGAGTCAGCATTCTGAAAATGTGTAAGCACGGACAACGTCTTCCGTTTGCAGCACATTCTCCATCAAGTAAGACATAGGGTCTGCTTGACACTTAAGAAAATGGTTAAATAAAGAAGTTCAAGTATGTGGAATAGATTCTTTACTTATATAGAGTGTTTGCAACTTTCAGCTTTGTTTAACATAATAATACCACTCTAGTATGAGTGAATCGAAAGTTTGTGAGTTTGAGAGTTATCTTCTCCTTTTTACGTCAAAATCTGGATTTTAGTTAGCATGTTTATCTTGGGTTTAGTTATTGTCAAATGAAAGTCACTAGTAGATTCCCAGCATTCTACAGCTAAAGTCAACAAGCCATTAAAACCAGCAGATTCTTAGCAAACCATTAAAATCAAAACCAGTAGATTCTTGGCATTTTACAGCTAAAGTCAGCAAGCTATTAAAACAAGCGGATTCTCAGCTGATCTATAATTGTAGTCGTTGATTTTTTCCCTTTATTTAGCATATAATAGCTGTAGGATAATTATAGAAAGTTATGTATATGGTATTTTTCCTATTTTAAATGGCTATAAATCTGTGTGTACATGTTCTATATAAAGGGAATCTACAAGAGAAAATACAGTTTTTTCAAAACTCTCTCATTTGTCATGGTATTATAGCCACAATTCTAAAAACTCTTGTCCAGTTCTTTGATCTCTTTTTTTCTTGATCAATTCCATCAATACCGTGTCTATAGACAAGATAGATAGCTTTCTTGATTCATTTTAATGGCAATAAAAAACTCAGCCTGGGAATTCCATTAAAGTTTTTATCGAAGGCAAGGATTTATGGGTCATGTTGACGACAGTAAATCTGCCTTTCATAAAGACACAGACCCTTCTATATGTCAAATAGGAAGTCAATGATACCCAAGTCATAATATGGATTATCGAATCTATTGAATTCAATCTCTTCTCGAGTCTCCGACCATGAAAGATTGCTAATGAGATGTGGACTTACCTCAAGAAGGTCTATAGCGAGAACAAAAATGCTCGTCGATTCCAAATTGAACTTGATTTGGCCACTCTCTAACATGACAATCTCTCTATCTCTGATTTTTAGTCTACCTTAATGAATCTTTGGGCTGAATATACCGGCATTGTCTATCTAATAGCATAGCCATCTTTGTTTATGTGGACGACATTATTAGCACAGGTTCAGATATTGCAGTCATTTCTATAATTCAGAAATTATTGCATTCTTGTTTCCACATGAAAGCCCTTGGCCAACTCACCTGTTTTTGGGGGTTAGAGGTGCTTCGTAAACCTCAAGGTCTCTTCTTAAATCATACCAAGTGTATCAAGGATCTGGTACAGTTGTCAAAACTCACATACACTACTTTGGTGGACACCCTATGGAAATTAATGTGAAATATAGGTGTGATGAAAGGAAACTCCTTGAGGATACCACTTTCTATCGGAAGATGGTTGGTAGTTTTATCCATTTAACCATCACCCGATCAGACATCTCTTATGCTGTCCACAGTGTCAGCAAGTTCATGCAAACCCCTTGGCATCTCCACCTAGCCGCTATCCATGCATCATTTGTTACATCTTTGGCACGACAAGGTGTAACACAAAATGAAGTGTGAGTTTATTATTGAAACAAAAAATGAAGTTTTAAGCTGTAACATATTTTTTTTCTATTTTATTTTTCATTTGCCCTGGTTTACCACCTCTATTCTGTTCATAGCTTGTATTTGCTAGAGTAAAGTACTAACATTCTGGCCTTTTTTCTTCTTCTCTAGATCTTCGAGGTCTACCAATTAACAATTTCACTCAAATGCAAGACTATCACCATATTTCCGTTTAGATGGTCTGGATTGGGACCTCATTTAAAGACATCAAGAGCTTGTTTTTTTATCCATTTAAAAACTCTCCACAACTGCTATTCTGATTCAAAATATCTTCCAAGTTAATCTTCCAGACCTCATTTGTTAGATCTGTCTTTCTGTTCTTTATTCTAATAATTTGTTTTCAATTAAATGTAGAGCCAACAACACAATTTTTCATTATTCTCTCATTCTTTGTAGTCTTCATTTTTTTTTCTTTCTAATTTTGGTCTTTTCTGTGGCAGCACAGGATTTCTTATAGGCCCCAAACGACAAGTGGCAATGATGCTTGACCCTGTGCGTATTTATGCTACAGCTCTATATATTGCTAGCATCATTGTTGCACTTTTTTGTGCTGTATATGTGAGTGATATTATTCTGATTCTATCATATTTTCATGTCCTCCCCATTTTTTTCTATGTTTACATTGACATTCTCTATATTTGAATAGGTCCACAACAAGCTGTTGACGCTTGTGGCAATTATACTGGAGTTTGGTGCTCTTATTTGGTATGTCTAAAATCACTGTTTTATCTGGATTTTGTCAACTGACCGTTCTTTATTTTTTTGTCGAATAGGTGAGGGGCTGGTGCCCATATCTTTCTTGTGAATATGGCCATGTGCCTGGAAATTATTCAAAATTTTCCTTGGGTTAATGAGCATCTCCAGTCCTTGAATATCGGTTTTGTTTTTCACAGGTCTTCAGATCATTTTAATCTGTAGGACTGCTGTTGAATTTTTTTTTTTTTTAGTCGAGGCTTACAAGTATCATCTAGGGGGGATCCTAGTGCTTACAGAGGCATATAAATGTATTTAGTATTTACTGGGTGATTATCATTAATGAAGTTTGAGAAACTTTCTCCTTTTAACACCCCTCTTTTGGATTAAGCCATTATGGACCCTAGGACTTAAATACGCCTGTTGAACTGAACGGATTATCATTGTCCTTGTTTGATTTGCTTATCCTTGCTCATTTGTTGTATTTACAGGTATAGCTTAAGCTATATCCCATTTGCAAGGTCAATGGTTTCAAAGATCATGGTATCGTGCTTTGACACCGAGTTTTAGAGGTAAATATTCTGGCACAAGGCTTGCAAACTATTGTAGAGTTGATAATTCTATAACTGAAACTGTATTGTGACTTGACTTGGGAAGATGAGTATACAATAATTTTGGTGAGACTGAAATGTATGATTGGAGTTATGCCAGTCTTAATTCTTGGTCTATTTTATTGATTATTACTGTGGTTTCTACTTTCTCTCAGTCGTACTCAAATTACGATGCTGACGTATAGGAGATTGAGAGTTGATAACTTGAATATACGAGGGAGAAAGTGTTACCATAATTTTATAGTTTATTCTAGTCCATGGGCATCATGCATATACGAGCGAGAATGTGGTTGAGAGTTTATAACATTGCCATCCATGGGCACATTCATCCACAAACTTCCTTGAAAAACTAGCTCAAATAGGACTTTTTGTGATGGTTCTTTAGTGAAGAAATTTTATAATTTATTCTAGTCCTAAATTTTGAGCCTTTTAATTATAAGACCACCAATAGCAATTGGACTTGAGGCGACAACTTATACCAAATACATGTGAGCGGGAGTTCAATTTATAAAATTCCAAAAGTTTAGAATATGATGTGTGTCATCATAAATGCAAATTTAAGAAGTTTTGGAGCCTGTTAGCAAATTTTTAAAAAGTTTAGGATCTAAGTGAAAAAATTAGCAAATCTATTTCAGTGGCTGAGGAAATATTAGTAGAGATTGTTATTTACAAAAAGTCTGAGTTGGGACACTTCAGCTATTTCTTGAAAGATTAAGGATTGAAGTGAAAATTACAGAAAACATTTAAGAACCATAATTTGAAGTCTTGAGAATGTTGTATCGATGACTCGTTACAAGAAGAGTGGCTATTGGGATCTTAAACCTAAGACTAGGCCATAAACGTAATAAGTGCAAAGTTTAGAGATTAAATTTCAAATATTGACAAACATATCCAGATTAAGATTAATTACTGATAAGAATGATTATCGGATGCCAAAGATTTTTTAAAAATTGAAATGTTGAGGAACCTAAATAAAAATAAGTTTTGGAGTAGATTTTGATAAAAATTGCTTTCCACACCTCATCTAAAGTAGAAAATCAGTTGAGTGCCATATTTTCTTTGCCTTCGTCACTAATCTAGGTATGACGCCAAGTCAAATGGGATAAATGAGACGTGGAGGTGAAATATAAGAGATCCTGAAAAAAAAGAAATAGCTGAGCTCTGAATAGTGTTTGTGGTAGATAATAGATCCTCTTATTATGCCCGGATGGAATAAAAGTTTTGATCCTTTGACTATGAACTATCAAATGAAAATAGCAGGTATTTTGGTCACACTTACAAGTCCAGTGTGACCTCCTCAATAGCTAAGGTTCGATTCAGAGTCGTTTGTGCTCAGTGAAGTATTGCGGTGTACATGTGTAGGTTCTATATCGTACACTCCTTTGACACTATAAACACTAGTCTCTACATCTGTGACCTGCTGAAAAGATATCACCAACACATGTCGGTTATACCAATGTAGCCCATGTTTAAGCCTAAATGATTTTTCCCAAAGAGTAGCCATTCTTGTAAGTTGAGTAGGGATGGACCACTTTTAAGAGATGTTAGAGACTATTTTCCTAGAATAGTCAAGTAAATAGATTTAGCCCTAATTTATTTCCTAATATAGTATTAGTTATTTGTATATAAACAAACAAGTATTCTATGAATAAAGAGACAAATACCTTGGGGTTGTTTCATGGTATCAGAGCCACCACAGTAAGGTTAGGTCTCCTTCTCCGGCTTATTCTCGGCGCGTCTTTCTCGCGCGCCTAGGGTTTATGTTGGCGTCGAGCCCAGTTCCCTTTTTTCAGTGCCACCTGCACCAGAGGAGTCACCGTCGTCATTCAGCCTTCCTCTGTCGCAGTCTAGCCTTCGATCGCCTCCAACCCAGATTTTCAGTGTAGTCTTGACTGCTCGTTTTCGGCCAATGTAGTTTGACTGCCTGTTGTTTAGAGTTTTGGGTACCTTCGCAGATCTTTGGGCTTTAGGTTGAAGGTGTATGCTTCAACTTCATTATTTGAACTTTCTGGTCTTTGCTCGTTTTCAACTTCAGGTTGCTATTTACGCAGGTTCAGGTTCTTCAAGTATTTAGACTTTGTTGTGATTTTTGCTTTGTTATTTGCTTGATATTTGATAAATGGAGGACAAGACTTTTGTTGTTGTATCTGATACGATTCCTATGATGTCAAAAATTACGAAACATAAACTTAATATATCTAATTATTTAGATTGGAGTAAAACTGTTAGATTGTATTTGCGGAGTATTGATATGGATAATCACTTAATTGATGAACCACCTAGTGATGGTTCGAAAGCCTCATGGCTAAGAGAAGACGCTCGTCTGTTTTTGCAAATACGTAATTCTATTGATGGAGGTGGTTGGTTTGATAAATCACTGTGAATTTGTAAAAGAATTGATGGATTATTTGGAGTTTGTGTACTCGGGCAAGAGAAATATCAAACACACATATGATGTGTGTCAAGCCTTTTATCATGCAGAAAAAAGTGACAGATCTCTTACTGTCTGCCTAATGGATTTTAAGAAGACTCATGAAGAGCTTAATATGCTACTTCCATTCAGTACTAATGTAAAAGTTCAGCAAGCTTAGAGTGAGAAAATGACGGTTATGAGCTTTTTGGCTGATCTTCTTTATGAGTTTGAGACTGCTAAATCTCAAATTCTTTCTAGCCTTGAGATATCTTCTTTAGAAGAAGCTTTTAGTTGGGTACTCCGCATAGAATATTTAGCCTCTACTCAACCTAATAGCGCTCTTGTCAGTCGCAACTCTGAATCTAGGAGACAGTCATTTAGAAGTGGCAATAAAGGGGAAAACTCAAGTAATTATGACCGAAAACTTAATATTCGAGGACATGATTCGGAAGGTGTTGTATGTTACTATTGTCATAAGCCAGGATATGTGAAGAGAGATTGTAAAAAGTTGCAGCACAAGAATCAGTCGAGCCAGTCAGCCCATATGGCCTCTACTAATGATACCTCTGAACCTATTCTGATATCTGTAGATGAGTATGCCAAGTTCTCACAATATCAGGAATCTTTAAAATCTTCATCTACTCCTATCACGGCCATCACTGAATCAGGTAAAATGAACACATGCTTTGTTTCTTCTTCGTCCAAATGAGTAATTGATTCTGGTACCACAGACCACAGACAAGTAATTCTAGCCTATTATCTTATTTTGAGTCACATGCCTCTATGTTTACAGTTACTTTAGCATATGGGTCTACATCTCATGTTCTGAGGTCCGGCACAATTACTCAAATACCCTCTATTCCTTTACAATCTGTTTTAAGTTTACCTAACCTGTATTTTAATTTAGTCTCTGTCAGTAAGCTCACTCGTTCTCTTAATTGTTGTGTCTCATTCTATCCTAATTTTTGTCTATTTCAGGATTTTATGATCAAGAAGATTATTAATAAATGACATGAATCTAGAGGCCTCTACATTCTTGATACACAAACACCAAAGTCTGTTGCGTGATCTGGAGTTGTGACCCCTTTTGAAGCACACCGTCGGCTCAATCATCCTTCGTCGCCTGTGTTAAAGAAACTTTATCCTCAATTTTCTAGTTTATCTTCATTAGATTGTGAGTCTTGTCAGTTTACCAAACATTGTCGTTTGAGCTCTAGTTTCAAAGTCAATAAAAGAGCTAATGTTCCTTTTGAGTTAGTTCACTCCGATGTTTGGGTCCGTGTCCTATTGTGTCGAAATCTGGGTTTAAATATCTTGTTACCTTTGTTGACGATTATTCTCGAATGACATAGTTATTTTTAATGAAAAATCGCTCATCGAAATCTGGGTTTAAATATCTTGTTACCTTTGTTGACGATTATTCTCGAATGACGTAGTTATTTTTAATGAAAAATCGCTCAGAATTGTTTTATCATTTTACAGTTTTTGTGCTGAAATCAATATTTAATTTAATGTTCTTGTGCAAACTTTGAGAAGTGATAACGCTAAGGAATATTTGTCAGAACGGTTCCATAATTATATGGTTCAACATGGAATTATCCATCAAACTTCTTGTGTTGATACACCATTTTAAAATGGAGTTGCTGAAAGAAAAAATAGACATTTTGAAATTACTAAAGCTTTGTTATTTCAAATGCAAGTCCTTAGACATTTTTAGGCTGATGTCGTTTCTGCTGCCCGTTTTCTAATTAATCGTATGCATTCCTCCGTTCTATCGGTGAAACTCCCTTTCATGTCCTTTTTCCTCACAAGTCCTTATTTCCTATTGAACCAAGGACATTTGGATGTACTTGTTTTGTTCGGAATGTTCGACCTTATGTTACAAAACTTGATCCCAAATCTCTAAAGTGTATATTTATTGGCTACTCTCGTGTTCAAAAAGGGTATCGATGTTACTATCCCAATCTTAACAGGTACCTTTTGTCTGCTGATTTGAACAAACACCATTTGCTTCATTCTCAAATTCTATCGGTCTGTGGGAGGATGATGATCTATTAATCTACACTTGTACATCCCCTAGTTCTGATCTTCCTTCATCTGCTGCTGCTAAGCCTCCAATAACGTAGGTTTACTCTCGTTGCCAACAACCTACTACTCCTGACCCGACTCCTGTTCCTCCACCTCCTTCTTCATGTCCTGCACCAGTTCATCTGTCATCAGATCTAGGTCCCAATTCGAGCGATGATCTTCTTATTGCACTTCGCAAAGGTAAACGTTAATGTATTTATCCAGTATCTTCTTTTGTGTCATATAACCATTTGTCACCATCTTTTTGTTCGTTTGTTGTATCTCTTGATTCTATCACTATTCCTAAGACCGGATGGCGTAATGCTATGGTTGAGAAGATGAATGCTTTAGATGACAATGGTACTTGGACCTTGATACACTTACCTACACGTAAAAAGGCTATTGGATGTTAATGGGTGTTTGCAGTGAAAGTCAATTCGGATGGGACTGTTGCCAGATTAAAAGCTCGGCTTGTTATT